TAACAATGCCACAATAACAATACCACAATAACAATACCAATAATAATCAATAACATACCGCAATAACAATACTACTAATCCACAATAACGTAATACCACTAACATAACTAATCCACAATAACAATACCCAATAACAATGCCAGAACAATACCAATAACTACAGTAGCAATACTACTAACTACCATATATAACGCAGTAACAGTACCAGTAACCAGTACCGCAATAAACAGTAACAATGCCACAGTACCAGAATAACAATACCACAATAACAATACCACCAACAATACCCAATAACAATGCCACAATAACAATCCACAATAATAACACAATAACAATACCGCAATAACAATACCACAATAACAACAACAAATCAACAATACCAAATAACAATACCACAATAACAATACCATAACAATAACACAATAACAATTCAACAATACCTATACAATACCACAATAACAATAAAACAATAACAATACCACAATAAAATACCACAATAACAATACACAATAACAATACCCAACAATACCACAATACACAATAACACAATAACAATACCAATAACCCAATACAATACCACAATAACAATACCACAATAACAATACCACAATAACAATAACACAATAACAATACCACAATAACAATACCACAATAACAATACCACAATAACAATACCACAATAACAATACCACAATAACAATAACACAATAACAATACCACAATACCAGAGTACTCAATAACTTCTTAACTAATAACAAGCTGATCGTGGCAGGTGAACGCCCCAGGTAGACAACGTTAATTAGTGGAATAAAAACTGGAGCAGGTATGCTGAGGAGAGAGGCCAATTAGCATGACGTCAATTCATTTGTCATTCCTTCGGTACTGGAGGACACGTGTGTCTGTCTGTCTGGTTGTCTGGTTGTCTGGTTGTCAGTCTCTCCTCGGGGTTTCTCTCTCTCTCTCTCTCTTTCTCTTTGGTCTTATGTTTATCTCTTTTTTACTCTCGTTTTATACTTGTCTGCCTTATCTCTCTCTCTCAGTCAATTTTCTCTGCCTTTTATTCTCTCTCTCGTTTTATTTTCACTCCTTCCATCTCTCTCTATCATTTTAAATCTCTCGCAATCTTCCGTCTCTTTCCATTTATTAGTCTTCTTCTTCTCTCTCTCTCTCTCTCCTTCTATACGTATCATTCATCACTCTACGACAACCAACCTTACAGCAACCTTTTCCTCCTCCTCCTCCTTCTTCCCTCCTCACCTCCCCTCACCTCCTCCCCTCCATCCTACCCTCCTCACCTCCCTCACTACCTCCTCCTCCTCCACCCTCTCCCTCCATCACTACCCTCCTCCCCTCCCCTCACTACCCTCCTCACCTCCCCTCACCTACTCTCCACCTCCCCTCACTACCCTCTCCCTCCATCCTTCTCCCTCCTCACCTCCCCTCCTACCTCCTCCCTCCCCTCACTACCCCTCCTCTCCATCACTACCTCCTCCCCTCCCTCCACTACCCTCCTCCTCCTCACTACCCTCCTCCTCCATCACCTACCCTCCTCCCTCCATCCCTACCTCCTCCACCTCCCTCATTACCTCCTCCTCCTCACCTTCCCCTCCTCCCCTCCTCACTACCCTCCTCCTCCATCACCCCTGGTTGTTTGGTGGTCTTCCTGGAGGTACTGTGATAGATGGGACGGAACTTGTATTGATGATGATGATGATGATGATGATGATGATGATGATGATGAAGAGGGAGGAGGGAGAGTGGAAGAAGAGAAGATGGAGGAAGAGAGAAGAGAAAGAAGAGAGGAGAGGATGCGATATGAAATTAGATAAAGGAGGATAATTTAAATGAGAGAGAGAGAGAGAGAGAGAGCATATACAGTTAAGCAGTGGGGAAGAGGGAGAAAACTCGGCAATTAGGGAATGAGAGGGAGGAGAAAAATGAGGGAGGAGGGATAAATCAGTAGAGGGCAAGAGTGAGGAGGGAGGAGAAAGGAGGAGGAGGAGGAAGGAGGGGGAGGAGGATACAAAAGGCAGAGTAGGGAAGATGAAAAAAATAGGGAGGAAAGTAGGAAGGGGGAGAGAGAGAGAGAGAGAGAGAGAGAGAGAGAGAGAGTTCTGTAGACAACACACCTCCAACAGGTAAACAGTGGCGGCTCAGGTGTATGTTAAAAGCACAGAGAAATAAATATTTACTCTCAAGATCCAGTGAATTAGTTAAAGATACTCAACCTATATTGTAACCTTACCCTGTTTTAGTCCTCCTCGTGTGTGTGTGTGTGTGTGTGTGTGTGTGTGTGTGTGTGTGACTAACAGACAGAGAATGTGTAACCACCACCTCACCTTCCACCCACCACCTACCTCACCACCCACCCACCCACCCACCACCTCACCACCCCACCCTCACCACCCACCCACCACCTACCTCACCACCCACCCACCCACCCACCACCCACCACCCCACCACCCCCACCCACCCACCCCTCCTTGGACGCCATCTCAGAACCCAATTGTTTTCTCTGGCAAAATTCACTGAGGTGTCGATTAACGCTTTGTTTATTATTTCGTTTTGGGTGAAAGGTAAGTGAGAATAATTGGAGGAGGAGGAGGGGGGGAGGGGAGAACTTTCGAAGTCATTAGCGATGGAAAAATACCGTACAGTGAAAGGGAGGACTAAAGACTCATTGATTTCTTTATATAGGAATGTTAAGAGCTAATTAGTTCACTCATTAATTAACTCAATCCACTAAATCCACCAATTATTTCATCTTAATTGTCCAATATGTTTATATATATCATAAAAAAATATATAGTAATAATGTGTATATTCACTTAACATAGTATAAGGGTACAGTTGAAACCTCTCTATAACGGACTATATGGAAAGGAAAGTCCGTTATATCGAGGGTGTGTTATATGTAGAACCACCATTTAATGAACTATATAGTGAGGAAAGTCCGTTATATCGAGGGTGTATATCGACAGAAGTTCGTTATATAGAGATTTCATTATATCTAATCCTTTTTTTTAACTAATTAATTACTATCTAACGTCTTCTTAACTCTCTTGGTCAACTATTTAACCCTGGATGACCTTTGACCTCAGAGTACTCACCGTCTGTAAGTTAAGTCAACCTGTAATATCCTGTTTATCCATCTACTAACGTTAACTCCCAGTCCCTATTAAGTAAAGTGAAAAGTCTTGTAGTTAAGAGGAAGTTAGAGAAGCAGTTAACAACAAGACGGCGCTGATAGGAGGGGGTGGCTTCTCATATCACCTTCGTCGGCGACTTCTTCACCTCTCTCTCTCTCTCTCTCTCTCTCTCCTGTTACATAGACTAGTGAAGATCTGTGTTTCTTTGTCTTATTACCTTCAGATCTTTGTTCCTTTAGCTGTATCAGGCCGTTTGTATTGTACTGTATTTTCGTTGTATTAAACTACTATTTTATTTTCAAAGTATTAAACAGCTGACTAACATAATTTCAAAGTATTAAACCATTTACTATATTAATTCCAATGTACAAACCAATTAAAATCCACCTCCTAGTACCACGGTTTATGTGTGGTTTACACGGTATCTTTTACACGCTATTACCAAGAGTTCCATCCATCAATTTCATCAATTTCCTCGAGATGGTAAAATTTTCTATGCATTTTTCACCCGACTGAGAAGTGGGTGTAATTTCACATGTCTCTGTCTACACCTAACCATCCAGTGTACGGGTGAAGAAGCCTCATGAAGCAGACTCCTATGTGCCCCTCTTTTATTAATTAAAAAGTTCCGTAACGATACATCAGATGATGTAGCCTGGGTTAGCTGCAGAACATCTTCCCCCTCTCCACCTCCTAGTGTTTGTGGTTCTTGCCCTCCTGCACCCTTCTGATGGTGTTATATCTCGTGGCTGAGAGAGGATGTGTGAAACTGCTCTCTCTCTCTCTCTCTCTCTCAAATATACCATTAAAATACAAAAGCTCCCCCCCCCCCAAATACCCTGTTTACTCTCCTCCGTTTACCACTTCCAGATAGTTAAGATTTATTCGGCCTCTTAGCATCAGCCTCCTACAGGTAATCACGATTCGTTCTCTTGCTCCTCCTCCTCCTCCTCCTCCTTCTCACCCTCCAGAAGTTATCCAATTCGCGTCTTCTTGTCGGTCTTCATTTAGTCTGGTGGCCCTCCCTATTCCCTCCCTCCTCTCCCTTCATACCTCCCTCTCCCCCATCCTCCTCCTTTCCTCCCCCTCCCTCCTCTCTTTCTCCCCCCTCCTCTCTCCCTCCCTCCTCTTCTCTCTTCCCTCCCTCCCCCTCCTCCTCTCAACTTTCTCCTTTATTGGCGGGCAAAAGATCGCTCCTCACTTGGTATCAATCTTCCTCCTCCTCCTCCTTCCTTCTCCTCCTCTTCCCCTCCTCCTCCTCTTCTTCTTCTTCTTGGATGATTATGATGTGGTGTGTGGTGTTATGGTGGATGTGTGTGTGTGTGTGGTGTGTGTGGTGTTATGTGTGGATGGTGATGATGTGGTGTGTGGTGTTATGGTGGCTGGTGTGATGATGTGGTGTGTGGTGTTATGGTGGCTGGTGTGTGGTGTGGTGTGTATGGTGGATGGTGTGTGATGTGGTGTGTGGTGTTATGGTGGCTGGTGTTTGATGTGGTGTGTGGTGTAATGTGGATGGTGTTGTGATGGGGTGTGTGGTGTTATGTGGCTGGTGTGTGATGTGGTGTGTGGTGTCATGGATTATGGTGCATGCTGATGGTGTGTGGTGTATATGAGGCAATAAAGAGTAAACATACTTATCGATATGAACTTGGGATACCCCGGGAGTGAACCAGGGAAGATTAGGACAGAAGACGAGCGACATATCCACTCACCCACCGCACCCTTTACAAATGACTGACATAAGTACCAAACAGCGTCTGGGATAGATAGCTAGATAGATAGATAGATAGATAGATAGATAGATAGATAGATAGACGTTTTCTGAAGGAGATGGTCAAAGCCAAGCGGTGAATGTTTACAAGTTTAGCCCCTGAGTCACCAAGAGGCAGCCAACAGCCAACTAACAGCCAACCAACAGCCAACCAACAGCCAACCCAACAGCCAGTCAACAGCCAAAACAACGTCCAGCCAACAGCCAACCAACAGCCAGTCAACAGCCAAACCAACGTCCAGCCAACAGCCAGCCAACAGCCGTCAACAGCCAAACCAACGTCCAGCCAACAGCCAGCCAACAGCCAACCCAACAACCAACCAACAGCCAGTCAACAGCCAACCAACGTCCAGCTAACAGCCAACCCAACAACCAACCAACAGCCAGTCAACAGCCAACCAACGTCCAGCCAACAGCCAACCCAACAACCAACCAACAGCCAGTCAACAGCCAACCAACGTCCAGCCAACAGCCAACCAGCCAGTCAACAGCCAAAACAACGTCCAGCCAACAGCCAACCCAACAACCAACCAACAGCCAGTCAACAGCCAACCAACAGCCAACCAACAGCCAACCAACAGCCAACCAACAGCACCAAAACAAGCCCCTCACACACATAA